GCAGAAATACTAATGATGAATGAATGGAAGGCAAGAAATCTTTGTAGTTATTATCTTTTGCATACTGAGTTGCACGACTTAGTCTGCAAACAGATAAGGCCTACGGACATTTCTTAACTTGCAGTAGTTCACTGTCAGAAGTTACACTCTTTGTATGACTGCATGATCGGATTTCAGCCAGTGCATAATTTTTAATGAACAAACATTATTTTAGTTATGTAGTCAGTTTATACATGATTTGCCAGATTTAAAACATTTATAGTGTCTTATGGAAACTAAAATCCCTGCCCAGATGTAACCCAGTTTCTATTCCACCAATTTACACAGATGCATGGTCAACATAAAACACTCATACATGTATATGCAAGGAAATGGGGACTGATAGAAAGATTCATCATTTGAGTGACTTCTTCCTGTCCAAAGATTGTTCATGGAGTCCCATATGGGCAGATTTTGAACCACATAGAAGTCTTCCCCTCGCACAAAGATTGCTGGATGACCTATTTTTGAGAACTGGGGGGACTCCAGAAGTAATTTCCAGGGGAGTAAGATGGAAACATGTCCTTCAGGCTGTCTTGACTTGTGCTGTTCAATTGCAGTGGTCAATCAGATGCCCATAGGCAACTAGCAAGCATGGCATCATGGCTGTCCCAACCAACTGGTGTATGGAAGTGGCATGGTGCCTTTTGTTTTGGCCATAGCTTATCAGCACTGGGGCAAACAGCCATTGATAGCAAACACCAGTATCCTCTCTGCCTTTCCATCACACAACATCCATTGCACATAGAGTCACACTTCGACTGGTACCCACTACCACCTTGTACAAGTGGAAGGTCCCATTCTTTTTGCTGGGGTCATTTCCACTTTCGTATAATGGCAAATCAAAACTTGCATGGAGCGCTATGCCAGCAGAGCATTACATTTCACAACCTCCAATGGGCTACTGGGCCTTTTGTCCTCTGACTGCACTGCTAATGGGAATGTTATCAAATCTTTTGAGTAAACATGTGGTGCCAGATCATGGATCCAGCCAGCTTGAATTGTTTCTTTTTACTGTGAGTTACTATCACAGGTCTCGTTCAGATATCTTTTCTTGCAGCTGATATGTTTTGATGGAGACATTGGGGACTGGCTATAGGATCTTATGGAAACATATTGTAAATTGTACTTGCTACCATTGAGCTACATCTCTCCCCATTCCACAGATGCAGTCTCCATATTCTCCTTGCCTTATGTCACTATTTAAAATCCTTATTTAAATACTTTCTTATTATTTAACACACACCCAGTGAGACACTACCCCCCCAAATAAAAACAATGATGATGATGATGATGTGCTATTGAGCCCAGTTTATGCCAACCCTTTCCAGGAGTACTCAGACATGCTTTACCATTCCCTTCATCTGGGAGTGCCTTGCATCTGTGCGGCTTGCCCAAGGTTAAACAAGTTGGCTTTTGTCAACTTGTTAAAGCTGGTCTGTGAGCTACCCAGCTCACAGACCAGCTTTTGTAACTGCTTGAACCAGGTGCATATGTTGCTGATGCTTCAGTGTTGGTCAGTATTTTAATTCAGTTTATTGTAAATCACCTTGGGCTCTCTGTTTCTGATTTGGAAAGGCACCTTATAAATATTATAATTATAAATATTATATCCTGACAGTATAAAATATTGTCAGGATACTTCAGTGTTTTATAGTAGAAGGGAACATTGTGAATTGGGTGATTTATCAGTATCTCCCCTTCCCTGTGTTACAAGAAAAGCAGCATTTTACCATGTTAAAAATTCACACTTGTTGGAACTTGATGAAATGCTCGGTGAAAGAAATGGAAGCAGCCTTGTTGACTTCCTAGGGTCATGATGGTTTTCTTATGACAAATGTTGCCATATGTCTTTCTGCAGCATGAGCAAGTAACTGAAATCTTTATGTAGCTGTTAGTGTGCAGAATTATTGAAGATGCCGTCAATTTTTCATGTAAAAATACTGAAGTGCACAACATTCTAAACTATTGAGCAGATGCTTATGGGATGACCTCTGTACCCTATTTGTTCCCACAGAAATAAGCCAACTCGAGTTTTACTGCCATATGTAAAACTGACTTTTTCTGTTCACTTTTTTAATATATATTTTTAACCAATATCAGAAGAACCAGCTAACCAGTCTTGGTGCTCCCTGTGAACTCAGGTGACCAATGGATGTTTCATGGAACTGCAGTGCCATATCAAGAGCAATGTAAACACTGTCATGAAGTACAGTCAATTATTAATATCTGTTGGTTTAACAGAGTAGTTATCACTATTGGCTCCATTCTTATCCTGTTTACATTTTAGATTTATACTAGAAAGCATTAACCAGGATATCAGCATAGCAATCATCTGCATAAGCATGCTAGTCCCTCAGCAAGAATAGTTATTTTGATGTAATCATCATTGCTTCCACAGGTCTTCATTTTACTACTGGGTGTGCTCACATATTCTTCAAATAATTAAAGCAACACTTTTGTTGCTATACAAGTGTCTAGAGCGAATGACTACAGTACTGAATGTTTCACTTTGTCATCCATTCAAACATAAGTTTTCACTGAAAGCCATTTGTTGGTTAAAAAAACAGGTGAGGCAATTTAACAGGAGCATCCAAGTTAAGTTATACCTTGGGGGCACATTTTCAAGATTTTAAAAATAAAATTAAGAATCCCAAATGTTGCTGGCTTGTGTTTTTTGTTATTTTAATAATAAAACCTGAAAAATTACCAGAAGTGAAATTCACAGACAAGAAATACTTTAATTAAATATTGTGTAAAATGAACATTTTTATACAGTTAAATATCTGAAAAATGTACAGATAAAACAATCTTATTGTAGGGTCTTTAACAGTAAAATCTACCATTTAGTGAAGTTTTCCATTTGGAGACAATGAAGCAATGAGTGCATTGACTAATTAATCTAAAACACAAAACAAATTGCTTTTATGAAGAAACTTGCAAACTTTGTTAACATGTATGCGTGATCTTTTGTTTTAAGTTTAAAACCTTATACAAAATAAAACTGAGGCAATTCAGTTTCAAAGTGACTTCTTAGGCTTTTCCACTTAGCTAAGCCTTATTGGCTATCACAGAATAAATGTGCAGTACATTTATTATTTGTGATATGTATCAATTTTAAAACCTTTTATAAACATTTCCTGAAAATGTGCATTTTTGTATTTAAAATGGTCCCTCCTTTTGCTTAGAACTTTAATTCTGCTGCAGTTTGCAAAAGTGTTTTTGCAGTGCTGCATTTACAAAGCATTTAGTGCAAAGAAAGAAAGGTGTGTGTGGGGGAATCAGCTGTCTAAAAATTGGCACTAGCAGGCACAATAAAGAGGTCATTCCAGTTTACAAATTACAGTCATCGCTGTAGGTCTTGCTACATTAAAAAAAAGGTTCTGAAAATATAACAACTTCTAAAATTATGTATGATTCCAATTGCATACACAGCTTTTCTCTCTGTTAAACAGTGCTGGGTTACAGAGTATGCAGAGTGCAGCAGAAAGCAGACACGCAAAGGAGAGATATAGCTGTACACCAAGGATGCAATCGACCAAGCACTGCTTTGGTGCTACAGCTAGTCATTTCCATGGAATTGCTACAAACCTGGCAGAAATGGACAGGAGATGGGTAGCTGCAGCAGAGTAACAGATCACACCCCAGGTTTGTGCTTTTTATACACCATAGATCATCTCGATGAAGTTGTGATTAACTGTGGTGTAAGCTCACAGTACAACAGCACAAAAGTTCTTCAAAGGAGTCTACTTTTAAGGCATCTGAGAAGTTAATGTGGCAAACATTTTAATTAAAACATCAAAAATGATTTTCATTTTATTTTTTAAACTTTAGGCCTCTGATTCCCCCCCCCCCCAGGTAAACATAGTTCAGCTATGTGGCAAAGTCATGGGTGGCAACTAAATTCACTTTTTATACCTTAGAAAAGAACAACAACAAAAAAAAAGAGTCCAGAAATGAGATAAAACTGAGGAAGATTTAGAAATTTAAAAAAATCTAAACACAATATAGGAGAACCTTCTTTTTTTGTTGTTGTGGCTGCATCACATGCACGTATTCTACTAGTATTTATTACAGCCATGTGGCACAATTTTGTTTTAACTATACAACAAACAAGTTTATTTCAAAATTATTTGTTCAGATAACTTAAAATAATATAAAAATAAACAATGTTTTCCCTCAAAATAACAAAAAGCTGGAAAGTCCAAACAAATAACAACTTTCTGAAATACAAATGAAATGAATGAACACAAATTTATTTTAACAGAAACATATGAAGGCAACTGTTCTTGGCTTAATGCTTTTCATAGCATCACAATACCAATCAAATGACGACAAAAAATGGTAAGAAAAAAAAGAAAATCAATATACAAAATTTCAAAGATAAATACAATATTTATAATCGATATGTTACAAAATAAATTCCCTTGGTGATTGCAAGTGTTTTATGTGAAAGAAAGTGTTGCAATGTATGACTATTTTATTCCTTATTTTTATAAGGAATAAAATTTGCTCTTCTAAATATTTAAGTGGATCTGAAAAAAATTCAAGACAAGTGTATAAATATTTAGCTACAACTTTGGCAAAATCACAAAAGTCTACAATTTTATAACCACATACAAAACACATTAGGGAAGAAGGATCTAGAAGTCAAAAGGACAATTTTCTGGTACAAGAAACATAGACTTCACAGTAGCCTAAGAATGCAATAGTATACAGTGCTAGCAAAAGTTGAAAAAATGTTGCAGATCACACTTGCTTAACAGGAAGCTCTAGCAGTGGAAGTATATTTTTTTTTACCAACAGACAGTAGCATTTTTCCCTCTGTCAGTGTGCTTGTTGAAGGCAAGAGAATTCAATATCAAAGTTACAATTTCTAACTACAATAAGTTACAAAGTTCCATTTCATTAAGATGAAGTTAAGCAATGATAAACCCTCCCACCCTCCCCAGCTCCCCAAATTATCCCAAATCATATATTCATTCTTTTTTTCTCCCAGTTTTGATGGCTCATACCTCCTTGGCCCCCTTTTTTCACCACAAAAAAAATATTTCACATTATAGAGATACACAACCATTGTGAATCTAGTTATGAGTACAGAAAAATGTTTTGGAGACATTTTTCATCAGTGTTTCATGATAATCAAAAATGGTGCATCCACAAAGTTTTTCCCGACACATAGCAAGTACTAGACATAGCCAAGACGTAATCAGAAACTTTATACAAAATAGGCGTCGCTTTTTCCTTATTCTTCAGGACCAGGAAATGTGAAAACATGAGAGAAGTTCAGTCAAATAAATGGAATTGTTCATGAAGTTGATTGTTTGCATGTAGGTTCTTAGTAGTTTAAATAAAATCTTTAAACAAAGTTTTTTTTTGTAGCATTTCATTGTTTTGCTGATTGTATTTTGAAGATACTGGTTCCATCAGCATGTCTTATATACTAAACTTGTCCCCTAAAAAGCTCATCTTCTGAAGCTTGGTGCTATGGTAGGTAAACAAAAGTGAATTTACATTGGCGGGACTACAAGCCCAGACATAGCTGAAAGAAAGAGGAAAAAGAAGTGTTAACAGATATGTATACATATATATATTTTAAATTACATAAAATAATAAGAGAGGAGAAACTCTGCCATGCACAATCTTCTCTAGGAGCACCAACTCTGCAAAACATTTAGGAACATCCACTAAATCGTCTTCATTAAAAAAAAAACAAACTTGGATTGTGATCCAGAGGGCTATGATTGAATCGGTGGGAGAATATCACTTGAGCAACTTTGCAGATAAATATGCCACTTCTTGAAGAAGGTGTATTTTGAATTAAATTTGTGAAACAAATTACATATGAGAAATTGATTCTTTGGATGCAAGGTTATTGTACCTGGAAAGGGATTGTGATACATGTGGAAATTTGTTATTGCATGTAGATCGTCTCTGAATCACAGGCCAAGCATGAAACAATATGCTTTGGGTGGATGGGTGGGGGTGGGATCTGAATGAACTGTTGACGGACCTTTTCAACATTTAATGCAACAACATAGTTTACATGCAGCAGCTACCAAACTCTTTTTTTTTTTGCCATCTGTTTCTAACATAACAGGCAATCAAGCGAGGGAGGGGCTTTCTTTTCTTTCTCCCATACAGTTTATTTTATTTTAAAATCAGGAATTCTCCAACAGAGCATTCTGTGAAGACTTCACTTTTAAAAATGAAAAGGATTCTGACATTTTTTTGTGCAAAGCATTCTGCCTCCCACACGTGTGATATTTCTCTTAGCGTTTTGTTAATGGCAAACAGTGGCCCAGACTCCCAAGGGACTGCCTATGTTGACAGCTGAGAAACAACATGGTCACTTTTGGTAATGTCAGACAAGGCCAGCTCACTCACCAATCAAGGACCAGACACTTCTCAAGTTCCCTAAATGAAAATCTGACTAACCTCAGATTTTTCTCTTTCCAAGCACTCGAGCCTAAGTGGAAAGCCTCAGTTTTGACATTCCGTTAATTGTACTTTATATCTGAATAGTATGCTGACTTGAATAAGTCAATGACTCTCTGAGATCAAAGTCAAGTACAGTACACCTGTTTTGCAAGCTGTTAAAGCACGAGCCAAAGACAGGAGATTAAAATCTTCCACTTGCTAGCTTGTTTTGTGTTTTAAAATGTTGAGAGATCAGGCCCTGCACACTTTACGTGACACATAAAGCTTAGCGTCAGCTTGTCTAGGAACAATGCAAGGAATTTTTACTCCTTTAGTTGGGGCACTAAGAAGTGCCCCTGCCATGTGCCCTGCAATAATACTAGCCATCACTGCTGCTGCTAGAACAATTGGGAGTTATTTTGCAAAACATGTTTGGGAGACACATCACTTGTGGTTCTGTGTGCCCGATACCAAGAATGGGTCTACGGCCCATTGGACTTTAACAGGACACCTACACACCTGAATTTCAAAGCCAAGCAGGACATTGTACCATAGCTATTGAAGCACAGAGTACAAAGACTGGTCTTGTTAAACACAAAGATGCTACATTTTGTCCTCATATTCTAGTTAACTCCTTGGCAGGAATATAATTTGGAGTCTTTTAACCTTATGGTGTTTAAAATTTGTCACAATGATGCTTCTCATTAATTTATGTACAAGAAACATTAATACATTTTTGATGTTGTGATGTGAACTTCAATTTCCCAGTTCATTACTTTCAAAAAAAATATCAATTTATCTCAGATTTGCTGTTAATGGTTTTTCTGAAAGCTTGTAGTATGTACACACTTATGTAATACAGTCTCCTTGCATGACTATCCATGTGCCTAAAGATGTTGTATCCAGTTATGTTCAATAATTTGAAACCAGCCGTATGATTACATCCAATATTTCTAAGGCGCCTGCCCTTTTTTTTTACCTCAACAGATTTCTCTCCCTGCCACCCTTCTGAAGAAATATCAGCAATTTCCCTTTATTGGCTTTGCTCATGGGTGATGTGGCACTTTTTACACCTCCTCCTTATGGAAAGATTGCTTTGGCTACAAAGCACAGTGTGCCAGGTATAAAGAAAATGGAGTGGTGTGGTACAAAACAGTGTTCCTTTCCTATTGCTTCCAATTTTGCCCTTTCATCTCAGCACCCATCATAGTACAGTGTATGGATGCCAGTTTATGGAGCCACATAGAATTTCTTTAACTCTTCTGATCTCGATCAGATGGCTGGATGGCACTTTCTTTTTCCCTCCCTACTTACATCAAACTGATCTAATGGCAAGATTACCTGGAGAGTAGATGTCAGTATGGAGGAAGATAGAAAATACAACATGGGTTTAAGGGAAGCAAACTCTAAATTGGCTGTTGGGTGAAAACCCACCAGCCCCTTTTATGAGGCAGGGAAGTTTTCTCAAAATGGCTCCTTCCAAGGCCCTTTGGGGTTTGCCTGTGTCACTCACAGAGAGAGAGGAGAAATACAGGGGATAGTCTTCCTCCCCCCTGGACACCATGGTCTCATTGCAGAACTCATGGTTGCTTTTCTCATAGTACAGATGGAATGGTGGAAGTTGGTAGGTATGTAGGTGAAACAGGTGGTCTGTGAATCCTGCTGGTGTACTTGAGGAATAGTGGATCACAGATGTTAGACCTAAATTGTCATCCGTCTTAGTCAGTGTAGCTAATGGTCAGGCATGATGGGGTTGTAATTTAGCAACATCTGGAGGACAACTGATTCCCCATTGTATAAGTCACCCTCACAGAATGTCAATCACATGTAGTACTATTTTCACACATGCATTTTGCTATTTGTTGCAAAATATTGGCTAAATAATTATCTTAAAAGGATGCTGGCTGCAGAAAATCTGCCTATTAAAGTAACATTCTTGGATAATAAAAGGTTCATGAGGAATACTGCTAGCTTTCGATGTAACTGATGGGGGTTAGGCAAATCACGTTCAAGAAAGTTTGGAACATGCCTTTGTTTACATGGAAAGATTAGTCACAGGTTTACAGATGGAGTATAACAGCCAAATGCTCTTGCATTTCGACCCTTGTGTGCCATTGCTTGGATCGCAGCCAGTTCTTGCCAGCTGTGAATTCCTCCAATATGGCAGAGTTCCAAAATAGTTAGCTTCTGCACAATGGTGCCATCAGGGCTGGGAGAAACTGTGCCAAATGGTAGAGCACAGCAATGCACTGTTCACAGTCTTTGGCCAGTAAACATTCCCTTGTGGAAATGGCAGCTCATTGACAAGGGACAAAGCAAACTCTTGGCTATCTGCTGTCACAGCAAGCTCTTTCCTATTAACTGGCAAAAATAAATACTAATAACATTATTAGGACTTGGTAACAAACATTACATTAAAGTAGGGTCAATGGTGGTAAATCCAACATTTAGCCAATTTTCACTATCCTGCATTGCAGGTGAAACAATAACACAGAGGGGGGAATAAGGTTTCATTTTTTTTCATGTGTTCTATTTGTAAAAAAAAAAAAACCTGGGATACAGTATCTTATTTTGGGATTTAGTTATCTCAGATATTCCTAGATAGTGGAAGCCCTTCCTCAGCCAATAAACAATGTTTTTTGGGGAAAAAAAATACAAATTCTGTGTTACCCATCAAAAGTGACAGTTTTGTAGACAGGGCATAAACTCAAAACCACTGTTACCAATGCCATCAAAGACATAAGATGATCGCTGCTTTGAAAGCTGTACCCATTTCTGTGTAAGTACACTATGGTGAAATTAATGAGATGAACGTCTGCTTCCAGATGTATGAGACTGTTGATGTATTAAGTGCTACACAGCATGATTTAATGATTAGAGTTTTGGACTGGGGAAACCTGGGTCAAATCACTGCTGACACCAGAAGCTCCCTATGTTGTCTAAGGTCAGTTCTTCTCTCAGCCTAACCTACCCCACAGGATTGAGTTATGAGGACAAAATGAGAAAAACTGAGCTTCATGGGAGGAGACAGGAGACAGATGTGATACATAAATAAACCAAAAAAAATCAAGAACTAAGCAATTCCTCCTTATTTTTCAGTACATTCGTACACAGAGATGCATACCTCTTACCCCATTAATATATTGCAATAGGAGATATTATTTTAAATATACTTTATTCTCACCATATTCACCATCATATATGCACCTACAAGCCTTGCTCTCATTAATATGTCTAACAAAATCACTCTCCTGGGGAATCATCATCTTCCAAGAACCTAGAAACAGGCTGGAATTAGGGAGAGATAAAGGAGGACCTCATCACAATTGGTGCAGCTCATGGACTTAATGGGGGTTCCTTACCCCAAACGTTTGGGAACCTATCTCCCTGCCCTTATCACAAATCATCTATTACTCCTAGTGGGCTAAAAGGATTCTGAAGCTACCCTTACAGTACTGCTCATTTCTTCTGGTGCTGCATACTTAATATGATAGTGTCCTTATTTTCTCTCTCCCCCTCCCTCTCTCTACTGTATATATATTGGAGGAATTCACTGGGTAGAGTGGGCGGCATATAAATTAAATAAATAAATAAATAAATAAATAATATGTGGAACATTTTGAAACCTATTTTGTTAGGTATATGATGCAAAAGGCTTAATTTGTGACTGTAGTGTTTATATGTAGTGTTCTTCAGAGTACAGTATTCATTAGAATTTTTTTCTGCTATGGACATTGTACTTGAGTGATATTTCTTATTCAGGGAAAATATGGGTGGTTTCAATAGTGAAATCTAGGGAGGAAGAGAACCATCTGTTGCTTTTTAGGTTGTTTTAAAAATGCAGTAAAAAAAGAAAAAGAAAAAGAAATGTAACTGCCATAGAATTGCTGGATAGAAGTGGTTAGTATCTGGCTGCAGAGCCAGTGGGCTTCTAGTGGGTGGGGAATGTTTGGGGAATGTTATATGTGTGCATGTGTCTGGGCTCTGGGTGTCTGTGAATTTCGTTGTATGGTATACTGTGTATATACTTACAATGACAATAAATATTATTATTATTATTATTATTATCTACTTTCATATTTTACTCCAAGGAAAACTAAGTTGCTCTATTTGGCTTCAAAA